AAAAAAACACTTATTTAGCTTAATGTTCTATTGAAATGAATAACTTTTTTGTAACGAATACTGCTGATAGGGCATTGATTTTAAACAACTTTCGCTATTACCACCTTCAGATACGGATGTCTTTGGTGCACCTGCCGCCGTTGAAACTACAGATTTCTTGGTCCGCCTTGGACGACGTTGTTCTGGGCTGGATGCTGGGCTAACATTGCCGGTAAGTTTATACCTAGAAAAAAATTGCTTTTATTTTCTGCTTGTTATAAGAATGCAAATTGAATACAGTGTGTAAGTAATTCTGCAGAAAATTAAGCTAATTAGTAGTAGCTCAATCTACAAATTCGCTTAACCTCGGTACGACAACTCTGTACGTTGAGTGTTACACAAAATTTTACTTCTGTATTCTTTTTTTAAATAACGTTAATGGTAGTTTAAACTTTGTATTATGAATACTATTAGCTCAGACTCGTTTATTCGCCTGGCAATCTTCAGGTTTAATAGAGTGATAGCCCTGTATTATTCCGTACAATTGACCCAAATGTTTTTCAGTTGACTGCTTAATGTCATCAAATTGTTTCTTGTTCCAAAGACAGAAAAAAAACGAGAAAAAAATCGAAAAAATTGTTTTCAATTTTTCTCGACTTTTTCGCTCTATTTTATCTATCGTTCTTTCCGCTTCAGACATTCTATACTTTGATCAACCAAGAAGAAAAATATGTCAAAGCTTTTTCTTTGATTGTCAAAACAACTGATACAAATGATGATAGACAAACGAAGACGTATGACTAAGAAAAAAAATTCAGTAAAATAAGCGAAAAACTAACCTTTTGATAATTTTAGAGACACATCCGTGTGAAATTTTTAAAATTTTTGAAATCTGATTGACTTTCATATTCTGTTGAAAAAGTCGGATGATCTCTTCACGAACGCCCATATCCAACGGCCGTCCGGGACAATAAAATCGTCCGTACAAATTTGTTCCCATCCCTAAAAGCAAAATAAAAAAAGTCAAATTCCACAGGAAATAATTTGACAACGGCTTACATATGCCACAGAGTAAAATTTTTGTATCTATGCAAAATAATTTCTTTAACAGCTACTTTTTTCTTTTGGCTATAACAAAGATAAACGAAAAAAAAGACAGAAAACCGTTTTTTTTTTTTTT